TTGTATTATTCAAATATTCCAAAAATAAAAAAAATTTTGCTAAAAAGGGAGGGGGAGTTTTGGAGAGAAAAAACAACATCATGAAATGACTCGTGTCATTCCTGGTCTCTGTTTTAGTATTATGTTATTGATTCTATTCACTTACTTGTAATTTGCGCAACCTCCAATACATATGTGTGACCAAATATATCTATAAATTATAAATAATTATAAGATATAAAAATTTGATATTTAATTTAGATGTAACACATTATGATGATTCTAACATTTGTCTGGTAAGGAAGTAGCACTAGACCGCCAAAACTTTATAAATTTGACCCATGAGTATTAAGTGAGTAAAATATGAAGTAGATTTAACCAAAAAAAAAAACGAAGTAGGAAAGAACGGGTAGTATAACAGATTAAATTAGTTTTTGGCCCGGACAATGCGATGCCCCGAGTTATTATTTTAGTATATTGAAAATGAGCTTTTATAAGAAGAATTATGTGATGAAATATATATATAGATTAAATTAGTTACATTTATTTAAGTATTCGTATTATTGATAATATATTTTTAAATCATCATTGAACATCAAAATATACTATCCGATATCTATCCCTAGATTAAATACAATTTATAAACCTAAGTAATCCTAACACGAGTATTGGGCAAGCATAGGGGTCGAACACAGGGAACAACTAAAACACCACCAAGTACAACAATCAAGCTAGTTCGAGATAGAAGTTAAGTAAACTAAAGTCACTAAAGCAAGAAATGAAACAAGCTAGAATCAAGATATAAAGCACTAAGGGAAATGGTTTAGGTGTAGTATTCACTCAAGCACGATCAAGCATGAAATTGAATTAAAGTGTGAACTAAGCAACTCATATTCAATGATTCAAAGTACAATCTAGCCACCTATCAGGACTCATTGATTTCTCAACTCAAAAAAAATATACTATCCGATATCCTAAAATTATTAGTTTACTTCGTTCTTCAATTGTTATAAAAGAAAAAGAAAAAAACACATTAGCTTAAAAAGTTCAACACATATTTTGGGTTACATATATAAAATAGCTATAGATTTTATGTATGAGCAAATAAAAGAAATGAGATGAATTTTTGTTATTATAGATTGTTGTTAAATATACATGTATAAAATTAAACATTAAATTTTCAAGTTTATGAATATGATTAACTTTTTTTAACAAAATATTGTAATATAAGATCTACCATTTGAGTAGTGGATGAATTTAGATTATAGTGAACATGAGGTCATGGGTTGAAACATTCATATTAACAATTGTTAATTTTTATTTAATGAATAATAGTAATTTTTAATAGTATGCTGACATGACGCCACATCATTTGCCTAGCAATATATGGTGACTCGTGGCGGGATTATGTCTTCCCATTGAGTTTTAATATATATAGATTAGATAGATGAGGAGCATGGTGAATGGTGAGTGAAGGAAAGTTGGGGTATATATAGCCGAATTGTATAGGGTGGTTGGGTCACTTGGGTGTACAAATGGGCTGAAAATAACAACTAACAATAAATAAAGTCCAAAATTTCATTATCAAGTTAGATTTAACAAGACTTAAGTTCATTACTTAATACTGTATATATTACCCGACTTGATTTCATTTTGGTTATGCGTGTTACGTTTTGTCGAAGTACTTCTTTAGTAAAAATAAAATTTAATTGTTATTGTAGTAAATCTTATAGTAATTGAATATTAATAACGTACTTATTTTGACAAATCAAACAAGACCCTAAAAAGACTTCATAAAATTCTATCTAATTGGGAATTTGTGAAGATTGCATATAAGAAAAACAAATAGGAAAGAATATTTTTTGTCAAAAAGAAATGAATGGTTATCTTTTACTTTTAAGCATCATGAAATCAATATAGGACCATTTCAATGAATGGCATGGACCTATCAAAGAACACCAGCAAAAAGGAATTGAACATCTTCAAAATACTCAAAGCAAAATAAGAAAAATCCAACACGTATTTTCTCTCATCTTTTCGAGACTAGAAAATTGGTATGAATCATTAAACTTATTAATGTGTAAAAAAAAAAGGTGTATTTGAGTATGTAATACCCTAGAATTCAACGATTTTATATACGTTTTTAATAAACTATTATGCTTTATATGATAGTGTACGGGATGTTACTGGCTATCGATATGGATCGAATGATTCCATTTAGACTATGTCACTAATTGGTCAATAATTCAATACCATATCGACCCTACGTCAATCACATCTACGTGGAGAACTGCTTCCAACCATGTGGACACTTACAGACGACTTGACAAGACCTCCAAAGAAACAGAGGAAGTATTATGGAATGTATTTTAAATTTAAAAATTCCAATTATTATAATAAAATATTTGAAGAACAAATCTTGTTACGAGACATCCTTAAAGATCTTATTGGATGAGCATAGAATAAAAAAAAAAGTTATTGGTGGAATCCAATCTATCTATCGCAAAGAATAGAATTCGCAGCGCCCCACATACACAACTGTATAATTTTTTTTTGTTAAAAAAAATCGAATATTTCTCGATCTCCTCCTACTATATAATGGTGGGCAAGTATGGCATTGTAATTTGCAAGTCACGCAGATTACATATATACAAGAGGGTGATACTACTTTAAGGTAATTAAGTGCCTAATCCTTAATTTAATTTGTTTTAGCTTCTTCAATTCATCCATCTTAATTAATATTTGTCACTAACATATACTACATGTAACGCCTAAATACTTTTTCATCATTTGAATTAATACTTGGTAATTTATTGTGCTTTGTAGGAGAATACAACTAAGTAATACTGAAAAGATGGCCTCCATTCAAGAATGTGCTGCAGTGAAGGTGATGTTCAGTAACAATGTCCAAGCTACGTTGAGTGTTAAGCTCATCAACGGAGACGGAGAAGATCCTGCAGACGTTTACGGAAATATAGATGGTCGATTTGGCATCAGCACTCAGTTTTCGCTTTTTGATAAGAAGCAAAGTCAGCATATTCCAGTAAGGCCTGGTGAATTCATTCCCTTGAGTCGGTCCGATGTCAATGTGCCTGAAGCCGCCACGGAAATGGAGATTAGTGCTTACTTGATGGACTATGATGCTGTTTCTTCCGACGATGAAATTGCTAACGGCAAAGCTCTCTTTCTAGTCAAGGCTGCCGGTGAAAGTGACAAGAAGACCATTACCGGAAGGTATGGCTCTATTGAAGTCAATGTACTTTGGGGTTGATCGCGCTTGTCCTAATAATTAATCCTGGTGCAGTCTTATTACTAGATAGCTAGCTAGCTACTATAACTAAATAAAACTTTTCTGCACTAGTGTTCATGTTTCCTATGTGTTCATGTACTATTTCAATACAATGATAATCTAATTAAAACGTTTTACCTACATGGATCTATATTGACATAGGACTTTTCTTGCCAAATTACGATTGTCATGACCTTATATCAAACGGGCTGTAAGAGTGCGTACTAATGACCTGAATAATACTCGAACTCAGAAATGAACACATGGATGGAGGATAACGAAATGAAGATTCTGTTTTCGGGTTTTGCTTTTCTCCAGATCGAACTCCTAAGCGTGCTGGCCTGGGGCAAAACAAACAATATTGCATTCTCTGCATCAGACTTAGTACATCTCTCTGAACTACTCAAATACACAACTTACTAGTATTGGATTACACCATTTGAAGCCACTTAAAAAATCTGAAATCTCTGTTCTTGGAGTCCTGCTAACTGAGTGCAAATGACATTAGATAGTCCAGTTGATTGAGGACCTAAATATACAGATATAATATTGATTCATCTGATAAATATATTGTGATGACTCATTTGGTTAAATTCTCGCGAGTTTTCTCAATTTAATCTAACAATTGTATATTTTGAATTATAAACCAAGGCAAGGTAATACACACAGCAGAGTAAAAGAAATGGGAGTAGTCTTCAATTCATACAAATCTTGATCATGAAAGTGAAAATTAAACATTCAAGTTGGACACAATAAATTGCAATAACAATCAAATACAATTTCAAAGTATTACATATAACACAAAAGCGTATCTCCTTTAAAGATGAAGCTTGGATCCTTGAGGAGAAGACAGCCTTGTTGCAGGTAGAGTTTCTGGGTAGCTACGAGATGATGACACCAGTTTTCTCAAGGATGGTCTGTTTGTCACTATCCATGGTATTACACTGATATCCACTTTTTCACAGCAACTTATGCTCGAGTATATCAGTCGTGTACACGATTTCACCACTTCCTTTACCCCTTCTTCTGTCACTTCACTGCAACGCGCCAGATCCAGGTGAATCAATTTGGGGCATATCTTCCCCAACTTGGTAAGAGATATATCATCTATCATTCAAATTTTCACAATCAATTTCTCTAACACTGACGACTCTAACTCCGTGTCTTTTACAGTGATATGATGGGATCCGGTTAGATTCAGTTCCCCAAGGCTCCTGTTGCACTCTAGAATATCAGGAACATTCAGTTGATCATCGGGTAAGAAAACACAACTGTGTAGCTTGAGCTTCTCCAATTCGGGACATATGCTAAGAAGCCTTTTCAGAGCTGTAGGCCTAAATTCATCATGAGATGATATGTCCAAGTACTTTATTGCACGGTTCTCCTCCATTAGGCCATCATAATTGTATTCTTCTTTTCCGAGGCATGAACCAGTCATCACAAAATGGCACAAACGAGGGCATCTTTGTGTGATCATAAGAAAAGTTAAATCAGATAACTTGGAACAATTAAAGAGAGTGATTGATGTCAGGTATTGGAGAAAAGACGACAAGTATCTATATGCTCATTTGTGAGGAATTTTACTCCCCTAGACCCCCCCAACTCTAAAGATTTCAGAGATTGAGAAGAGTGCTGTAGGAGCCTTGAGATCCCAGTAAAAGTGTAGCTTTCGCAATTCATCAGAGCCAAGTCGGTAAGATGAATCTGTGCTTCTATTATAGACAAGAGAAACTCATCCGGTATGTCTACATGTTGGAGCTTTAGAGATCTTAAGTTGGTTAGGATTTGTAGAGCCTTTGACTCCAAATGAATCAATCTTAAGATATTTATATATGTATAATGAGTTCAAATGATGGCTGTTGTTAACAAGAAATGAAATCCCTTCTTGTGTCACAAAATTACAATCATGAATTTCAATATGCTCTAGTAGTGGACAGTTTTTTGACAGAGAAATAAGGGACTTATCTGAAATCCGTGATTTATTCGAAAGGTCAATCTTGCGTAATCTCTTGAGCTTGGATGACATATAATCTCTCCCTTCATCAGTCACAGAATTATAATGTGGTGCTTCATCCTCGATTTGAAGTTCCTCGAGCTGTAGGAAGGCGTCTACCACTCTGACAAAATCAGCATCTCCGTCTCCACCAGTAAACTTGAGTACTTTCAGATTCTTCATGTTTGTACCCAGCTCCTCTAACCAAAATTCTGGATAACTTCGACAATATGACAAAGCAACCAACTCTTCCAAGTCCAACCCGGACCGTGCAATCGCAAGAACAGCTTCATCAATGTCTCCTTTGAAGTTACAGACCTGTATCTTCTTAAGGTTGGAAAATCTTTGCAGCAGCCTACAGAGGATTGTGATTGGTGTATTACTTGAGAAATTTATGCTAACTCGCCGGGAATTAGTGATTTTCAGGAATCTCTTGCAGACTAAAGTGAATGATTCTCGATAGCTTGCATGATCAAGACGATTTTATATCATCTCACAGCAATCGTCGAGCAATTCTTTTCTTTCATCTTCTTTTTCCATTTCTATCTGCCCAAATGGGATCAGATCAGATTATTTGCAACATTGAGAATGTATTGCTTTATTTGTATCCTTTAAATAACAATGTAATTTGATCATTGACTGGTTTTCTTTCCAAAACAACGTGATCTGATCTTTTCAAGCTAAGTTGTGACTTGGTTGCCTTTACATAACAATGTGATTTGATCATTTCAAGTTTTGACTGGTTTTCTGTACAAAACAACATGAACTGATCTTTTCGAGTTTTGACTTAGTTTCCTTTACAAATTAATGTGATTTGATCATTTCAAGTTTTGATTGGTTTTCTTTACAAAACAATCAAGAACTGATCTTTTCGAGTTTTGACTTACTTTCCTTTACATAATAATGTGATTTGATCATTTCAAGTTTTGACAAAGAAATAAGGGACTTATCTGAAATCCGTGATTTATTCGAAAGGTCGTCACCGTGGCGGTGGCGTCTGCCCCGGCCGCCGCAACCGTGGTGGTGGCGTCTGGCCGGGACGCCGCCACCGTGGCAGTGGCATTTGGCCTGGAAGCCACAGTCACGGTGGCGGCGTCCCGACCAAGCGCCACCGCCACGGTGACGACGTCCCGGCCAAAGCCATCGCCACGGTGGCGGTGGCCCGGCCAGAAGCCACCAGCAGTTCCTCATTTTTATTTTATTTTTAGATTTTTGTTTTTATTTATTTTTTTGGTTTTTGAACTTTGATACTAATTTGAAATTAAATATGTGTTAATAATTTCAAAAAACAAAATAAAATTATGTGTTAATTTTGTATGAATATTTTTATACATAATTATGTGTTAATTTTGTGTTAAGTTTTGAAATTAATTATATGTTAATTTTGAAAGTAATTATATGTTAAATATAGAATTTAAATTTACAAATAAAAAATTTAGAAATTAATTATGTGTTAATTTTGTGTTAAATGTGTTAATTTAATCTTTATATAATTCTATGTATTTAAAAATAATATGTCATTGTTGCAGGATTATGGTGGAGACAGAAATGATTATAGTGGGATTTTTATACATGATGGTCCCTTCGAAGATGCTTAACAAGCGATTGATTGGGCAAAACAGGTTGCAATTAGATCTGGTTTTTGTTTAGTAGTAGCAACTCATAAATCTCAACGGGATGGTAGAATGGATCGCATTTTGAGATGCGACCGTTATCATAAAAGGGAGGAACGAGATTTCAGTACAACGATTCGGTTTGATACAAAGCGGAAAGGTAGTGGGTGTGAGTTCAGATTAAAGGTTCGACAACACCGAAGCTGTGATGGTTGGGAAGTGAAGGGTTACTCTAGATGGGGGTATCACAACCAAGAGATGATTGTATATCCATTGGGTCATCGACAGTTAAGCGGCCTAAGTCCTGCTACAAAACTAGTTGTCAAATAAATGAGTGATGCTCAAGTGAAGCCTGTTAAAATATTAGCATCTGTGTTAGAGAAATTTCCTGAAGACCAGCCAAACCGAAGACACATCTACAACGTCAGATAGAAACTGAGGTTTGAACGGTCAGAGGGAAGGAACCCTATTCTGCAGCTTCTACACCAGGCACAAGCACGTGGTTACCTGTTCAAGTTTTATTCTGATGAAGAGACATTCGAGGTGACTCATTTATTCCTTGTGCATCCTGATTGTGCTGATATGATCAAGTCTTGGCCATCTGTGATTTTGATCGATTCAACATACAAGACAAACAAGCACAAGTTCCCACTGGTTGAGATGATTGGGATGGCTCCAACGAACCAGAACTTTCTGATTGGTTATGCAGTCATCAAGGATGAGACGGCTGCGAGTTATTATTAGGTGTTGGAGAAGTTGAGAAACTACATCGGCCCTAATGTTCAGCCATCAGCCATCGTCAGTGATTGTGAGGGAGGTCTCTTTGCCCCTATAGCGGAGTTGTTTCCAGAATTGAAGCATCTACTGTGCACATGGCACATCAACGACTGTGTGAAAGTCAAAGCTTACCACGTTTTCAACAAGAATTTTCATTCAGCAGAGAGATTGCTAAATGGTAAGTGGCGGAAGATCTTGCAAGCTACCACAGAGGCAGAGTACGATCGAGCCTTGGATAACTTCAAGGATGCGTACCAATGATGTCCGGTAGTGGTAAACTATGTGATGCAACAGTGGATACCTCACAAGGAAAATTTTGTCAAATATTGGACAAACCAAGTTCTTCATTTTGGAACCACTACAACCTGTAAAGTTGAGAGCGCTCATAGAGCTTTGAAGGACTGGATTGATTCTTCCACCTTTGCTCTGGATACACTGTTCGAGAGAATAAACAAGGCTATTGATACTCAGAAGAACAACATCAAGAACTTTCTCGAGGACTCTAGACGGAGACATGGTATGATGTATTGCCATTTCATATTTAAGATTCTCCATGGTAGTGTGTCACACTACTGCTTGGGGTTGATTCTGAGCGAGCACAACAGGATGAAGGAGTTGGGTGATGAAGTGGCTATTTGGTGCGGATGTGCTATATTGTTGACTCATGGACTACCTTGTGCATGCTCCATTCACCGCGTGATTACCCAAGATATGGCATCGTTACATGTTGATCAAGTTCATCCATTTTGGCGGACGCTCGTTATTGGAGAGCATGTTGTTCCACGACGGCCGACCGTGGACAGGAGGAGCTGGAGCAGTTTCGTTCGATGTTTGACCGAGTGTCCTCTAGTCACCCTTCAATCATTCGTGATGCTATCCACGTACTTCATGACATGTTCAACCTGTCATGCTTGGATCACGAGGAACCTGAAGGGGTCGAGCGACCTAGAGTTCGACAACCACGGCGGAACAAGAGTGCGTTTGAGTACATTCAATTCGTGGTCGTGGTCCTGGTTGTTCATCGTCATCCGGTCGTTCGTCTGGTCGTGGTCGTCTGGTCGTGGCCGATCTTCTTCGTCGGTGAACATGCCCAAAACCGGTACAATACTTTACTTTATTTTACTTATTAGAATGCTTGTTTAGTTTACTGCTGACTTGTTAATTGTGTTTATTGATATGTGCAACAGGAAGAGTGGATATTGATCAGTTTCCATATAAGGACAGGATCCTTAACATCACCATGGAATACTTGGACGGGTGGAATGATGTGGTTGCAGATGGTAACTGCAGATTTCAGGTCGTGGCTGACGTGTTTCAGATGGGTGAAGACAATTATGCTTTAGTGCGTCAGTTGATGTACAACGAAATTGCCGCAAACCGAGATGTTTATCGTCATGTGTACGACGAGGAGTTGGAAAGTTCTCTTGAGCGTATCTAGTGGGGAGGAGGACCTTGCAATCAAAATCATTGGTTCGACGCGCCACTTGATTTCTTTGCCGTTGCAAACATCTACAAGTGTGCAGTCATGCATTTCAGGGTTGGTTTGCACAGTCGAGCTTATTTTCCATGTTGCACGGTTCTATCGTGTAGAGGGCCCTGGGTACCCTATTACTAGGGTTCTGGCCGAAAGGCATTCAGTTCACCTGCACATTTTTTCAAATTAGTAAGATTCATATAATAAAGGAAAAATTGCATTAAATAATACGACCTTTGCTCCGTCCGCTAAAAACAAGTCCACCTTTTGTTTATTTCAGAATAATACGACCTTTGGGGGGTGTCCGCTTTAAACAAGTTATGACCGGTTTTTAACTTGATTAACAGGTTATATAGACACGTGTCATTGTTTGATTGGTTTGAAAATTTTATTTGTTTTTTAAATTTTTTTAATGTTTTTAATTTTAAAAGATTATTAATTTTTTTTAAAGAAAAGAAAAAGAAAAAAATAACCCCACCTCCCACCTCCCCCTCCGGCAGCCCCCTCTCCCCACCTCCCACTACCAAAACCTTCTTCCCCGCAACAATCCCCGGCGACGCACCTTCACCGCCGGCATCCCCTCCCTTTCCCCCTTATATCCCGTCGCGACCACCCATCGCCACCCCAACCAAACCCAGACCCCGGAACCACCACTCGCATCGCCACCCAAACCCGAAACCACCACTCCCACCTCCACCTTGACCCGAAACCACCACCCCCCACCCAACCAGACCCTCATCCTATCCTAAAAAACCCACCTTCGAAAACCAAACAATCCCCAACCTGTGGTGAGGGTGGTTGCGGTTCAGGTCGGGGTTTGGGTGGGTGAGGGTGGTTTCCGTTGAGATCTAGGCGCCGGTGCAGACTTAATGCGATTTCGGTGGTGTGGGTTGAGGTAGAGGAGGGGTTTCGAGGGGAGGGAAGGGGGTTACGAGGAAGGTGGTGGCGGTTTTATTCGGCGGTGTGGGTTGGGAAGGGAGGCGACTTCGGCGGTGCGACAGGGGAATGGGGTGGTTAAGTGGGTGGACTGGGAGCCAGAGGTTGGGGCTGGGAAGGGGAGGGTCGCCGGGGAAGGGGAAAGGTCGCCGAGGAAGGGGAAGGGGAAGGTCGCCAGGGAAGAGGAAAGGGTGGCTGGTGGTGGAGGTGGGTATTTTTTTTTTTTTAAGATTTTAATTATTTTAATTATTAATTAACCATAATTAAGGTTTTAATTAAGTGTTAATTAGATTATTAAACGAATTTATTGAAAATTTTAACCGGTTATTCAGGTTGTAGGTAAAATAACTTGTTTAAAGCGGACACCCCCCAAAGGTCGTATTATTCTGCAATAAACAAAAGGTGAACTTGTTTTTAGCGGACGGAGCAAAGGTCGTATTATTTGGTACAATTTTTCCATTATTCATTACAATATAAAATTAAAAATAATTTATACACTTTACCTTTAAGGGGGACATCTTGTCAAGTAATAACCGTATCGATCGGAGTCGGTCAACGGACTTCTTCTCGAACCGCAGACTCCACGCACAGGCACGTGGCATCCCGTCACCAATAGGAACCAGGTCGCGGTGTGGTCGAAATGTAGGAAAATACTCGTATGCCCAGGTCTGTAATAAAGTAAGACATCCAGTGATACCTACAGCGTCAGCCCGACTCGAGAATCCTAATTGGCGATATAGATACACCAAGGTAGCCGACCCCCAAGAAAACTGGCCTACTGAGTCGGGCTCACACGCATCAACTATGTCGCGTGGCCTGAGCTTAGCTTGTTTCTGCTCTTATCAGGAAACAAGGTACACCCGAGGAGAAGAAAAGCATATGCATTCAGTTGTGTGTCATGCGTCCTACGTGCAGTGGGGTGCAAACAACGCTGCAAAACGGATGCGATCTTCACACTGCCATGATCCCAAACACCAAGCCCCCTAGTGTACAGTGCACCCCTGTCCACCCCCAATAGCTCCGCCAGCAAATCTGTCTGATCCGCATCAGTCACAACATAAAGTCGTTTTCCCTATGCGCGAATCACAAGGATGGCCTCGACGTCATGCAGCATGATCGTCATCTCACTGAACGGAAGGTGAAAAGAGTTCGTATCCGGCTGCCACCGCTCAACGAAAGCCGTGATCAGCGTTGAGTCAATCTTATCGTGCATAGTGGCAGGAAGGTGACTCACTCTAGTGCCCTGCAATCGGCCGAACATCTCGTTCTGCTCTGGCTAAGCCTCAGCCCATCTACACAAAAAGCTACAAGTCCTTTCCCGGGTTTGGCATTTCAAAATGCCCGTATCCAAAGCCCTCTCCTGGTCCTCCCAAATACGGGTAGCTATGTGTCCTAGAAAGCTAGGAATCACACTCCCGTCCACAGGTCCCCCAACCACCTCACCCCTCACCACCCAAGAATAATTAATGGCCCTCGACCGTTTTTTGCTTACCGCAGACATAATGGACGCACATGATGTGCCAGATCTACTAACAAATCTACCATCTCTACCCTTACGCACATCTACCCTATACGTCTCATTCATATCATCAAGCCTCTAACTGAATGGACCGTAATCATCATATGGTCCACTCTGATCATCCATCCCAAGCACCACATCCTCATTTGCGTCCTCCTCCTCCTCCTCCTCCTCCTCTTCCTCATCACCATCATCATCTTCATCCTCCTCGGGATAGTGAACTCGTTCTCTGCGAGCCGAGGCCGAAATACCGCGGGATCTAACGTGTCTGGCCCCGAGATCTCCATTGAATGGTTTCTACTTCTAATAACGTCCATACTCTTCCCCGCACCGGGTCGAAAATGTGATACCTAACTCCATTTAAATAACGAAAAATAATAGCAATTGTTATTATTATTTATATTAATAATCTATTTTTTTAAGTACAAACAACAAAAAATAAAAATAACTAACCAACAAAAAAAAAATTAAACACTGAAAATGCGAAAAAAAAATTACAAAATAAACAAAAGCAATAGCAACAAATTGACAAAAAAACATAACAAAAAAAAAAAACACTAAAAACTGAAGGAAAAAAAATTACAAAAAAAATAGTAACAAATTGACATAAAAAAATTACAAAAAACTAAAGAGAAAAAAAGTAAAAAAAAAATAAAAAAAAAACCTAGTCGACGTCCCAGCCAGACACCAACCCCATGGCGGCGGCGGCTGGGCAGGACGTTAGGGCCACGGACGCGGCGCCCACGCAAGACGCCACCACCGTGGCTCTGGCGTCCTGCCCAGTCACCGCCGCCATTGGACTGGCGTCTGGTTGGGAGGCCAGATCCACGGTGGTGGCGTCCTGCCTGGGCGCCGCCGCCGTGGGTCTGGCGTCCCAGCCAAACGCCCCGCGGCTTCGAGGTTTTTTTTTTAATTTATTTTTCAAATAAATTTACCTCACCGTGTGACCGCCTTTCCTCCTCCTCCGCTGCCGCCAATTCCTTGTCTTGCCGCCTCGACATTGTAGTTTGAAGATTTTTTTTAGAGAGAGTAGAGAGAAGATGAGTGTGTGAGAGTTTTTTTTTTTTTTTTTTTACATATAAGGGAAAAAGTGTCAATTCAACTAACGTTTGTGGGCTTTATGTCAAAATTTGCGGACGATGTTTAGCAATTGACCTCTCGGGACCATTTTTGACATAAACAATTAATAAATATAAAACCTATCAAAATCAAACAACAGTATTTTTAGGACAACTGAATAATCTCATACATAACTATGCTCCATCTAAATTCATGCACGTATTTAGGAATACGTTATATTATACATGATCATGAGGAACAACTAGCAAACACACTACGGTATTAAAACCTTACATAACTAAGGTGGACCCAGCCCACTGGCCACCTCTAGTTATACATGATCATGAGGAACAACTAGCAAACACACTACGGTATTAAAACCTTACATAACTAAGGTGTATTATTATTTTTCATTGATTCTGCTAAATTAAAAGCCGAGGAAGCAAGAATTAAACATCCAAACAAACCGCAACACCAAAAAAACCGATACATGTTAAACCATCACAGCAGCGACTGCTCTCTATAATATGCGAACAACTTTCGTGTAGGTTTCGGCACTTCAAAACT